CTGGGACTGTGCAGGTTGCCCAAGGGCTCTTCTTCTCCTGGAATCCATAAAGGGGAATCAAACTCCCAACCTCTGGCTCCTCAGCTAGATACCTAACTCACTGAGCTACTCAGGTGGCTTTTGCTTACTTATACACTATTCATATGCTTTCCATTGAAATCCAAGGAAGCTATTTCTGTTTTAGATCAGTGGTTAACATCAGTAATGGTCTCAATGGGGACAATAAATCAAAACGTAATACTGGCAAGACACAGGCCTGTTGAAAGGCAGATCAAGGAATAGAGATTCAGTTTGTCATGGATGGAGTTATATTCCCTCTGAAAACACAGCTGTACTGCTGGGGGGTGCTCTTGGATTCATCTATGAGCATGGAGCCCCTTTGCACAGTTAATATTAGTGCACCAGTTCCTGAAGAAGCCTGATCTGGTGACAGTGACATATATCTAACTTACAACCTGGCTGGATTGCTGTTGTGCACTCTACAAGGACCTGCCTTTGGAAAGTGCTTGAAAACTTCACCAGGTCCAAGACAATGCAGCTAGATTGTTAACTGGGGCAGGCTACAGGGATCACGTAATGCCCCTGCTACAGCGGTTCTGCTGGCTGCTGATCCATTTCTGGACACAATTCAAAGTGATGGTTCTAACCTATAAAGCTCTAAATGGCTTGGATCCAAGCTATATAAAAAAAATTATATCTCCCATTATGAGCCTGCCTAGGTGTTAAGATACTAAGAGGAGGCCTTTCTTTCAGTCTCACCCTCACAGATGCACTTGTTGGGAACATGGGACTAGGCTTTCTTTGTCACATATTGCAGATTCTGGAATTCCCTCCCACAGGAGGCTAGGCCTGCCCCATCTTTGCAGTACTTAAGCAAGCAGGCTAAGACCAGGCTTCTCCTTAGTATAGGAGACAATAAACAGGGTGGTTTATATATCATTACTTCAAAATGTGTGTTTCTAATGTTTTTATATTTTTATATAATGTTATTAATTATTCTATTTGAATAATGTACTGCTCTTAGCTTTTAATATTGTGTTTTTAATTATATAAATCGCCTTGGGTCCTTTTTAGGATAAATTCTGGGCAAAAATATTTTAAAGAAACAAACAAACAAATAATCGACTCTAAGGAAATCACAGTAAAATGCTCCAGGAAAGGTCCCCAAAATATAAGTATACATGTCAAAAATACTTCTATTCTAGTAAAACAATGTGTAATGTTTATTTTACCACAATTGTAAAGTTCATCAATGAAGCCAACCTGATTTTTAGTAGTCCTACCCACTATGCAGTAGATATCCAGCATGAGTAAAACACTGCCACTGTGGGGCACACCCAGGTTTTACACAATTGTCTAGTACAGGTATAAGGAAACCTAATTTCCCAGACTTATGTGCCACAATCTATGGGCCTAAATTCAAGTAACTGAATTCAGACAATAACAGAGCCAGTGTTTCTTAAACCAATTTAGCTTCTTTTTTAAAAAAAATATAGACATCAGAATAAAATGAACTGCAGTTGCCTCTTTCAGAGGTGTAAAGAAAGGTGCTAAGCCTACTCTAGCCATTTTCCCAGGACATCCCACCATTTATCATAAAGCCTCAGAGATCTGATTGTCACTCTCGAATTGGCCTCCTCAGCCATACTAGACGCTGTTCCAAGTCCTCCATACAGAGCACGTTACCACAGTCTTTCAAGACTGAAGGATGCCTACACACAGAGATCTTATTGATCTGCTCAGATGTATTTTTCCTAAGGAAAAGAAAACCTGAGAGATGGGAGAACAAACATGTGGAAAAGGATCATGTTTGTTTAAGACAGACTGAAAAGAAGCAACAGGAAAAAAACTCATAGTAGATATTTTTCAGATAATGAATGTCCTATACACCAAACACAAAACCCCTTGTAAAACAGTTGTGCACACTACTAAAGAACTGGGTGTTCAAAATGCATGGGACTCATCAACTGCAAAGGAATCCTTCCCCTCTGCTTACATTGTTCATGAGCAAAGAATACTGTAGTTCATTAGAATGAAAAGGTGCTCTTATTTGCATTAAATACAGTAAGAAGATAAAATTGTTTTATAAATAAATTTATTTTGAATTCCCAAGACTATAACATTCATGCTTGATCCATTATTTTTATCCATAACAGATAAATACATAGTATATTCATGTCTTATATTTTAGGTTTAGAGGGTGCATATAATATAAGAATCCTTGCATCATTTCAGTTTTGTGCTACTGCATGGCTACAATTAGCTTATGTGCATTACATGCTATCAAGTCATTCCCATCTTTTCATGGCTGTAACTGAGTTTTCACAGTACAGTATGTACAATGTGCAAAGAGTGGTCTACCATTGCTCCATGAGTGTCCAAGAAAGGATGTAAACTCAGGTATCCTGACTCCTTGTCTGGCACTCCATCTACTACACTATACTGGTTCTCACCACAAAGTGCCTGACTATTAATATTTTGCAAGAGTAGGCAAAAACATGAGTGAGGATTAGGTAATAGATTTTGTTTATAAAGAGAAAGGGAACTCATGAAGATTTGGGCAAATGAAAAATTTTATTTAACATCATCATCATGGATATATATTATATTTACATAGTGGATGTGGCCATTTGCAGACACAAGACATCAAAATGATGCCTCTGACCAAGACTTATATGAGAAACAATCTATAATTTGCATAATTTCATCTAGGGACTTGGATGTGAGATGCAATTAAGCAGTGCAAGAACCACTATTTTGTGACACAATCATGCCAGACACAGCTGGATTTATTATTTTTCTGCTGTAGTTTGGGCACAGGATTAGTGGATTTTTTGTGGGACATCTATAAAACTCCTCAGGATCTATGAACATCATGCGATGAATCAAAACATTTATTTACTGCACTACAACAGTTCTGGGTGGTGGTGCACAAGCTATTTTATGGTCCACTCAATTCACATGAATGTGGCTATTTTTATATAATTGATATGAGGCATCTGCTTATAAAAAACATAAGGGCCTATGGCCATTCACATCTTGAATCTAGATTTTTGTACCCCTGTGAGATGTTTATTTATTTTAAAAATATCATGCTGACCCTCAGTTATTCTCTGGACAAATCCAGGATTTTCACACTGCAGATGCTAACCACAGATGCAACCCGTCATTACATATTGAGGTGTACAGAGGCTATCTGTGAAAACATCACAATGATCAGTGCCTGAAATCTGCAAGTTTACACCAATGGCTAACAGATAAGTGTTGTTTCCAATCAAATTCCAGAGGTACAATGGAAACTGGTAATTTGGTTGATTCTGATGCTCTAATTAATAATATTAATGTCAACATTAATATTAATAGGGATCCTGAGAGTATCCAAGAGTATTCTGCTGGTTAGCAAGAGAATGATACTGGACTTTCAATATTTATAATGCAATATTTCTATAAAGACAAGCAATGATCAAAGCAGCTCTAAGATGCCACTTCTAAAAATCAGAAGAATTCTAACATTTGGTTTAAGTTTTGGTATCACAACCATGTCATAAACAAATTGTTTCATTTGTATTGTTATGAAATAACTGATTCTATAACTGCACTAGCTGCAAAAATCAGACAAGTTCAGCTGGAATGCTAATAGATCCAACTTTTACACAACCTCACTCCCCCATCCACTTCCTAAATACATAATCATACAATAGTGTTGACTTTGAGGATTTTTGGCATCGATAAATGCCATCTATAAAAAAAGGTTTTGTTTACTACCTTTCTCGGCATTAATTCATTTTAATATCAAACCCAAGCACATTGGTTTGAAATTTACATCCATCTCACCTAAACGTTATTCTAAGCAAATTTGCTCTGTGTTACTTACTAAAGAGCAGACATCGCCTAGTAGGCTGCAGGTTTATCTACACTTTACTGTAACACATCATGGCTTGCACTGTACTAGATTTCCCCGGTTGCATTACAAAGCTGCTGCAATTTGGGGTGGGGTAGATGAACCATCTACTCACCCCTAAATTAATGGGCATCAACTCTTCCGCAAAATTAAAACAAGGCTGATTACTGCCACAGAACACAAGGGTAGATATTCCAGGAGTGTTAGTCACAATAGTGCCCGCAGCCGCCTTAAGAATTAGAGGCCACTTATTTACTCGTTCCCAGAAGCAGATCAAAGTTCCCACCCTCATCCCCGCCTGGGCCCTCTTCCCTCGGAGACGCGTTTGCATTAAGCCGCGAGTACCATCTGCCATTTGAAGCGGGAGGGGTGTGTGTGTGTGTGTGTGGAGGGAGGGAGGATGGGCGGGGGGGGTGATAGGCTTCTCCGAAAGAGATCATGTGGACAACAGAGAGGGGCATCAAGGCATATAGTCCCTCTAACCTTAGATAGAAAGGCAGTGTTTAGGTTAAGACAGGAGACAGTCCGCAGCTTCTGCAGAACTGGGGCGGGGAGGCTTCCTTGCCTCACACACTAAACAAACACCCTCGACATTCAAACACAGAGAAAGAGAAAGCACGACCAACAAACTGTACTATCGCACACAGAGACATCCTGGCTGAGCTGCAACGGGGCAACCCGCCTGTGAGACTCGGTCCTGCAGCTCCCGTTCCCAGGGCCAGGAAGCAAGGAGGCAGGGAGGGAGGGAAGGGGGCCG